CTACATTTCCCAACCTTTCTAGTAGATGTGTTCTCATCAATAAGAGTGTAGGCAGAAGAATGTGGCACTTCAGGTCCAAGGTGATTAAGTGTCAGTGTGAAAGCTTTCCACTCCTCTCCCCCACCCCCATCTAAGCAGTTGGGATCAAAGAGCTTTGAGATGATGGAGATGCTGGGTAGAAGCAGCTTGGACCTGAGTCACTGCTAGAGGAGAAGAGCATACCAATATGGTCTACCCACACTGGGATGTGAGTGAGAAATAAACCTTTGTGTGTTAAGCCGCTAAGATTTGAAGGTTTATTTGGTTCCACATTTAACAAATTAAAGATGGCCAGAGACTTTTTGACATTTCTTTCACTGAAAGCTGGGATCTATGTTCCCTGTCTTTGAATCTGGGCTGGACCGTGATTGCTTTGGACAACAGAATGCAGAGCAAGTGATGCTGGGCTAGTTTCTGGGCTCAAGCCATACAAGACTAGCAGCTCACTGCCTGCTGAAATGCTTGTTTGGGGATGCTTCCTTTTAGAATCCAGCCACCATGCTCTGAGAAACCAAATGGAGGGGACTACATGAAGGCACTCTGGTTTTCAGCTCTAATCAGCCTTCCAGCCAACAGCTAGCATCTCCTGCTAGCCAAACAAGTGAGCCATAATTGGCAACTAGTCCCACTGAGTCTTCAGATGACTCCATTTCGGTTGTGCCTGCAACCACGTGAGCCTTGAAGTGAGAATCACCTAGCTGAGCTCAGCCAACACACAGAATCATGAGAGCAGAATCATGAGAGCTACTAAGAAATAGATGTATTAAATAATAGAGAAACAAAAGACCAGAGAACAGCCTGTCCCATCCTGACTGATATGATGGAGTGAGGCAAAAAGTCTGACTCTTGTACTATTTAAATTTTTGGCTATGTGCATGTGATTTATATTTCAATTAGATATAGCTACTATTTTGTTTTTTTATTTTTTATTAATTATTATTATTTTAAATATTTTATTTATCTGTCAGAGAGAGAGAACACAAGCAGGGGAGTGGCAGAGGGAGAAGCAGGCTCCCTGAAGAGCAAGGAGCCTGATGCAGGACTCAGTTTCAGGACCCTGGGATCATGACCTGAGCCAAAGGCAGATGCTTAACCAACTGAGCCACCCAGGTGTTCCTTAATATTATTTTTTTAAGTAGGCTCCATGCCCAGCATGGAGCCCAACGCAGGGCTTGAACTCATGACCCTGAGATCAAGATCTGAGCTGAGATCAAGAATCAGATGCTTAACTGACTGAGCCATAGGTACTCGATATAGCTACAATTTTGAATTCACAACTTCTAAGCATTGGGCCATTAAAATTTTGATGCCACAGCAACAGCAATAAATATGTACTGATCACATCCTCAATTGGTGTCAGGTCCTATTCTAGGGCTGAAGACAGTGCGGGATCAAAGCTGACTTGGTCCTGGCTCTCCTGAATCTTCCAGTCAGGTTGGAAAGACAGATCAAAAACAACTGAACAAGCACAGAAAAATGATCCTCTGTGGGAGTGATAAGTGCTCTGAAAGGAAGAACAATTAGATGATGTTATAGATATTGATTGGAATAAAGGCTATTTCAGACTGGATGAACAGGGAAAATCTCCTGAAAAAAGGGGTTGTGTCAGGCCTTAAAAGATCTGAGGGAAGAGCACCAGGAATAGAGAATGTCCAAGGCAAAGGCGCCAATGTGGGAATGAGTTAGGGAATGAGTTATTCAGTGTTGTAAATAAGGCTTTGTTCACAGGGTAGAAAGAGGTAAGGTCAGAGATTTGAGTGGGACCTTGTAGGACATGATAAAGGATCGGAGATTTGCTTTGAATATGCTGGATGGAATATGCTGGAAAGCCTTTTGGAGGGTTTTAAATAAGAATGACATGAGCTGATTTAGGTTTTTAAACAATCACTGTGGCTGCTGGGAGATGCCTAACCCAAGTGTAAGTTTTAAACTACAGCTGAGCCCTGAACAACATGGGGGTTAGGTGCACCAACCCCTGCACGGTAAAAAAATCCGCATATAATTTTTCACTCTCTGAAAGCTTAACTACTAATAGTCTACTGTTGACCAATAACACAGTTGATTAGCACATATCTTGTATATTATATGTATTATATACTATATTCTAATAAGAGTAAGAGAAAAGAACATGTTATTAAGAAAATCGTAAGGAAGAGAAAATATATTTACAGTGATATGGGGCCATGAGCAGATGGTCAAGAAAGAATTTTTGAGATGTTTTTGGTGCAAAAAGGTGCTTTTATTATAGCACAGGGACAGGACCTGTGGGCAGAAAGAGCTTGTGTTTGTGGGGAGTGACTGATTAAATACTTTTTAGTTAGTGGGGGTTAGAGCATAAGTGTCCAAGGAATTTGGAAGCAAGGCCTTCCAGGGCCTTGAGTGGCTAGCTGCTGCTAAGGTAAGGTTATTTACCACTGTCTGGTAAAACATGAGTCTTGAGACCCTTCAGATGTATATCAGTGGGCCATATGCTCAGAAGGTAATTGCTATATATATCTTTGGGGGGAGTATATGGCTATCAGAGGGAAGTAACACTAACAAGAGCAAAGCTACAGTGGTAAAACATTAAAGAAAGTCCTTGAGGGAAGCTGGAGGAATGTTACAATCTGTATGTCTCAGGAATTCTGCCTGGAGACTCCGAGGTCCCAGTAGCCAAGTCACAACAAAGCCTGGCCTTTCTTTTTCTCCCATGATACAGTACTATATTTATTGAAAAAAAGTCTGCAGATAAGTGGATTTGCGCAGTTCAAACCCATGTTGTTCAGGGGCCAACTACGTATTCTAAAGTGCATTAGGTCTCTAAATTATGATTTAGTCACTTTTTATATATATTGGTCATCAAATCGTGTTTTTCTCACATAAAGATAAATGAAACAGCATGTTAAATGTGAAAAATAGGTATGTGTTGTCATATACTGTGAATGTTATCTAAGATTTTAAGTGAACTTTATAACACAATCTCTCATATTCTAAAGATAGAAGAAACATTTTTTTTAGCTTTTTTTTCTAAGATTTTATTTATTTATTTGACAGAGAGAGCGCACAAGCTGGAGGAGGGTCAGGCAGAGGAAGAGGGAGAAGCAGACTCCCTGCTGAGCAGGGAGCCGGACGTGGGACTCGATCCCAGGACCCTGGGATCATGACCTGAGCCGAAGGCAGACCCTTAACGACTGAGCCACCCAGGCACCCAGAGATAAATATTTTTAGTCAAAATCAATCACTTCTTTATCATATTATTCAAAAATGACAAATTATTTCAAATTTCCTAGGAGTGTTTTGTGAGTCAAAAAAGGGTTAGGAACCCCTTACCCCCAAACAACTCCTTATTTGAGAGAGATATCGCCTCTGCACCTCACGGCCGAGCAGAGCCCTGTTAACACACCCTTCGATGCACACAGACCCATGATGGTATCTCCAGCACCTGAGAGTCAAGACAGTCCTAAAAGAAATTCTTCACTGTCACCAACTGGCTCTGGGTCTCCATGGTACATGGAGTCTCCTGGCCATGCCTTCTGGGAATTGTTACTACCTACACTCACTCCTTCAACAGACAGGCTAGGCTTGGAATGTGGCTCAGGTCAGAAAGGCCTTCAGTCAGTGAAGGGGCAGGAAAGTTTTCCTGGAGGAGGTGACCCATGAGGAGGAGTCGGGAGGACTAGAGGGGAAGGTGTTTCAAAGGAACTTGTGCAAAGGAAATATGGGGGGCTGAGCTCAGTTCATGGTGGTTTCAAAGCATAGCAGGGGTCCATTATCCTGGGGTGTCACTGGCATTTACTGCCTTTCAAGTCCTGTGACCCATCCCACCATCTCTTGAGAAACGCGCATCTCAAGAGACCTGTCACCTCCAGGGCCTGTGTGGCTCCCCAGTGTCGCCGGATTTCTCTCTGTTTCCCAGGGGAGAGACAGGCCTGCATTCACTCACGGAGAGCAGGCTGAGGCTGGGTCCAGTGAATCCCTCCTTTCATTCTTCACACCAGACGTGTCTGCAGAGCTCTGGACAGGGGGTCTTGGCTGGAGACAGTTTTATCACAGTTCCCTGCAACCCATGATTCACTGTCAAGTATACCTGCACGAGATGTTGCTACTCCTCCAGAGGCCGCCCCAAGAGAGTGAACGGTTGAACCCGGGGACAGGACACTGGGCTGCTGGCCAGGTTAGCCACCCACTCTTGTGCAACCCCAGGGGCCCGGGATTTGCCAGATGAAGTCAGCTGCAGCCCTTCACTCTCAGGGACCTCCACTTTCTGCAAAGAACTAAGCCCCTAAGCCCTGCTCTCCACAAGGGCTCTTCTGCTTCCTGTCTCACGAGTTTCTGTCCTCTGGGAGTTTTGATATCCTCAAACCTCTGCACCTGTTCTTCCCGCTGCCTGGAATCCTTCTCTCGTCCTGGCCAGCACCTACCTATTGCAGACCTCCGGTTCCAACTCAAACGCCGTCATCTGCGAAAGCAGCGCCTCTTCACTTCAGTCCCTTCCTCCTCGGCGCTCCACCTCGCCGTCACGCTGTGTGTGCCTCGTGTCTGTGTCGCCTCCCCTCGCAGACCTTGAGCGCCTCCAGGGCAGGGTCCGGGTGTGAGGCGTCTCTAGGTCCCCAGCTCGGAGCGCGACCTGACCGGAGGGGCCGTGGGCGACGTCGGTTACTTCCGAACTCGGTCTCGGCACCGAGGGGTTGAGGACCGGCACCGGGAGGCCGGCCCGACAGCTCGCCCACAGGCGTGGGGGAAGCCGCCCCGGAGGCCGCGACCGCCATCCCGGCTCACTGCGGCGGACATTGATAGGACCCCGACGTGGGTGAGAATTTCTGGTGCGGTCCGGGTGCTGTAGACCCTGGGGTAGGCTTCCCAGCACATTTGCTTGGCTTTCTCCCCCGACGAACGCTCTTAGGACGATCCGGGGAGTCCCCGCCGCTGCCGCCCCCTGACGTCACGGAGTCCCCCAGAGGCCCCGCCCCGGTCGCGCCTCCTTCCGCGGGAGCGGCGCGCCGTGCGGGCGGGAGAGCGGCTATGGCGGGGCCCAGCGCCGCCGGCCTGCCCGTCGCCCGCTGGAAACGCCACATAGTGCGGCAGCTTCGGCAGCGGGACCGCACGCAAAAGACACTCTTCGTGGAGCTGGTGCCGGCCTGTGAGTGCGCCACGGGGGCCCTGCAAGATGGCAGTGGAGGGAGGGGACGGAGATCCGGGCGCGGGGAGAGAGGGTTGTCTGGCTCCTCGGGCAGTGACCCGCGGGCAGAAAAGCCTTCTCGCCTCCGAATCCTTGGGCCTTCTGGCCCCTCTGTTTCGCCCCACCTCTGACTAGCCAGCATTCCTGCCCTTTCCAGTCCAGGCTCTAGCTTAGAGCCCCTTCCAGGACGGAGCTCCCTCCCGGTGCTCCTCCCCTCCTGGCCCCTCAGGGCCCGCCTCTCCCGGACTGGGTTTCCTGGGCACGGGTTTGTTAGCTAGTGTTGGTTTTTTAGGGTCTCTTATGCTTCCCCCTCCCGGGGCAGTTCTCAGGGTACAACCTAGTCAATCCATTTGGTCCCTGTGACCCAGTGAAAGAACTCTTGAGAGCAGCTACTTCTCTGAATCTCTAGGGAGGAAGCTCAGAGTCTCAGGCTTTGCCACTGGTAAGTGATCCTGGCTCAGGTTTTTGGAGCACCTCTGTGCTCGGGCAACCCCAGCCCGAGGGAGAAACAGGGGACTCCAAGCTGCTGGCTGAGCCCAAGAAGAGTCATACTCAGGTGTTTGGGGCCGGGGGCGGGGGGCTGGTCAGAAGTGGGTATGGCAGTTCAAGCCAGGGGGAACAAGTGTGCATAAGTGGCTCTGGTCACTCGAAATTGTATGTTGGGGGGTTTGGGTGGGGGGAGTTACCACCACTATCCCTCCAGTTCCATCACTGGTCCTAATTTTGGCTGCTGCTTAACTATCTCCCCCGATCCCCCAAACTGAATTTGCAGCTCTTGTCCTGGGCCATTTACCTGCAACCCTCGAGGCTGCTGGTCCTCTCCCTCAGGGATGTGAGGTCAGCCTCCTGCCTCCAGGCAACCTCACTTTTTCACTGCTCTGATGGACAGTGGAACCATCCAATTTGAGGGAGAAGTCACCCCTGTCCCCCAGGAGCTGCAGTCTGTGGGACTGGAGAGACCCCGAGGGCTGCGATCAGACGTAATGAAGCTCCAGTTTTCTCTGTGGTCTTGGGTGGGTTGTATCCTTAAGCCTCAGATTTATCACCCATAAATTGGGCAAAATGGCGTCTTCTTTAGATTTGCTGGGGGGCCAGTGCAGTGCCCTGGGGGCTGGGGTGGGGTTTTGTGTGAGAACTAGCCCAGTGACCTCAGTCGAAGTGACAGGCAGGGAACCGGGTGAAGGAAAGGAGCTGAGGAGCTAGGCCTGGGCTTACCACCCCCACCCTACCCTGGAACTGGTGAGAAAAGAGGAAGTGAGTGTGGTGGGGGTGGAGGAAGATATTCCAGGGTCTGTAGCAAAAGCTACCAAATTCAAGGAGGTCTGCTGGATAGTTGCTCAAGGACTTTCTCTTCCGGCCTGGGGGAACCTTACCCCAACTCAGGGGAAGAGAGGATTGTTTTTTAGAGTAGAAAATTAGAGCCCTTGGAGGGGAAGTAATTTGCCAAAGGCCGTAGGCAGGTGGAGCTGGGTTTATTTCATCACTCTTTGGGGCAAAGACTTGCTCTGGGGCAAGGCTGAATCAATCCCTGGTGCTGTCCTTCCCTCAGGACCCACAGTGGTCGGTGAGGCCAGCCATCTACTTCCCCTGCAGTGGCTGTCTTTCTCTGTCCCCTGGAGAGACGGTTTCCTGGGAGGGCCTGTGGGCAGGTGCTGTGAGGAGGCTGTGCTAGGGCTGAAGGTCTGGGTAGAGCCCACAAACACCCCTCAGGCAAAGGGCAGAGCCCAGCCTGCCAGTAGCTCTGCCATTCTGCATCCCTGAGCTCCTGCAGCCCTCCCAGCCAGAGACGTATGCCTGGAGTCTGCTGGAAAGTGTTTGTCTTTGTACCCCTAGATAACCGTCTCCTAGAGAAGGCTGAGTTGCTGGCCCGGATCTCAGAGAAGCTGCAGCCAGAGCCAAATGATGTCACTCCTGCTACCCTCCAGTGCCCCTGGTGAGTGTATGAGTGTTCCTGGTTACAATGGGCTGCCTATGCCTGGGCCCTGCCCCCACTGCCTATGCTGGCTTCATTTTTTCCCTGGCATCTCATTGGTCCTTAAATGCTACCCAGGGGAGGGAGGAGCTGGTCTCTTGAAACTTCCTCCAGGCCAGCTGCTTAGAATGCCCTTTCTCCACCACCTTTCTAAGTCCATCTCTGCATTTGTCTCATCTCTTCCCTTCCCACCCCCACACTCCTGCCTTTCCCCCTCCTCTTTTTGTGTCCCTGATCCTTACCTGATGCCTACAGAAAGAGTCTTGCTACATATGCCAAAGGGGGAGTGAAGATGAGAACCAGGAATGGGTTGGGCCTCAGAGTTGGGAGGTGCTTTTTTTTTTT